CCCTGTTGTCTCTTTGTCTTCATCCGAAATTGAAAGCTCCCTTGGGATGGAGGCTGTCTTTTTAGCTACTGCAATCCAAATAAGTATAACTGTTCCTAGATACTAAAAAAGGCAACAGTGGAAAAACTTTTATTCCAGTTATCTTAGCAGAAATAACTGCTCAACCCACACTGGCTGAAACAGTTGAAAACATTTTAAATATTACAATAGCATCTTTAAATACTTATCCAGAATGTCACATTCACATAACCCTATCTCAAAACTGTACAGCTTAAACATGAGACAGGATTAGAAACAAGCGAGGAAACATTCAAAAGGCTTTTCCTTTGCTTGTAAAAGCTGTGAAATCTAAAAGGCCCACAGAATAAGAAAAGGAGCTCAATAGATTCCTCCTTTTTATTCACACTCACAACACAAGAAGGAAACAACTGGACAGCAACAAGATTAACTAATGAAAGGACTTGCTGCCTACCATACAAACATACACCTGAAACCAAAACTCATTTATCACCATCACAATTTCTATGGTCAGATCTGGAAATGTTACAAACACACACATTTGAAGAAATAAACCATTGAATGGACTTTCCCTTCTCTCCTCCTCCTAATAAAATTTGCCTGAGACTTTCATCAGAAAAATAGGCCAAAAAAACCACCCAACCCTTCAACTCTTGGTTGTGAATGGTCCCTTTTAGACACCGTATTTTGCATATCTAACCCTCTCATTCTCTTCTGTTCAACAGATGCCTTCTTGGACAACAATTCCTGTGAAGCAGCCTGGCCCCTACTCTTTACAGAGGGAGTTCATATTTCACGACAGATCACTCCTGTGTGCCTACAGTTCATCATGGGCAATGAAGTTTGATGCAGGGACCCTGGCTTAGAGACGGTTTGGGAATTAGAGGTGCTCCAACAATGCTTCAGATCAAAACAGTACAAGTTTACAGATTAAGAGGGAGAACTGTTTTCCTTTTGTTGATGGGGAAGTGTTGGGGGGGGGAGCGAATTCTACAGAAAGTATATGTCCAATCCTTAATCCAATTTTTACCTAAAGCCGGAAGGATGTAGCTGGATTCTCAACTACCCAGTTGGCTATTTTGCTAGGCAATGAGAACTGATGAAGGGTTTGCATGCCTGAAAAGCTTAAATAATGAAATAATTTTTACAGTTATATTTGCTGACCTACAAAAATCATAGAATCATAGAATCATTAAGGTTGGAAAAGACCTCTAAGATCATCGAGTCCAACTGTCGACCCAACACCACCATGCCCACTAAACCATGTCCCTAAGCGCCTCATCTACACGTCTTTTCAGTACTTCCAGGGATGGTGACTCAACCACTTCCCTGGGCAGCCTGTTCCAATGTTTAACCACTCTTTCAGTAAAGAAATTTTTCCTCATGTCCAATCTAAACCTCTCCTGGCGCAACTTGAGACCTCTCCCCACAAATTCCGGTGTCTCACACCATCACAAGTCCAACCACAATAAAGTAGCTTCCTTTCATAGGAGGAAAATGATCACCTCCACTCAACTTGGTGGGAAAAACAAAAATCCAAACCGCAACTGACACGTATCTCTTGTGACCAAGAAGAGATGTGGCATTCACAAGGGGGAGGGGTGTGACTAAGAGAGAGAGAGAGTGTGTGTGTGTCTTTTCCTTTAAGCTGGCTGCTTCAAGGCTGGCTGCTTCAGTAGCAATGGAGGCCTTTTCTGTGATTTTTTAGGCCCCAGAAGCATGGATTTTCTTATTAGAGCAATGCCTGTGTTCCTGCATTCAAATGTTGACTAGCATTTCCTCTGTCTAAACTCTTATCAGCCTGATATAGGAGCAGCTTCCAATGTAACTTCTAATTCTCCCCTCTCCCTCTCTTGCTCTTGCTCCCTTTTTTAATTACATTCTGGATGTTTTCTTATTGATTTACTTGTCTTTGTATGTAGATGCAGGGATTAGAAATTTCTCTTATATGGCAATTCAGTTTTCCATTAAAAGAAGCCTCTCATGCTATAACCCAGGGGGAGCTGAGAAGCTTTTGATGCGTGAAGCAGACGGAGGCAAGATGATATTTAGAGATTGCATTGCACTCTGCTTTATCTTAGCATCCTTTGAAGCACTGCCATATGATACATTGCTCTCTGCCACAAAAGCCACTCCTCTCTTGTGGAAGAAACTGTGTTTGCCAAGCGTTCAGAATAGATACCATGCAGCACCACTGTTCAGATGGGCAGGACTCCTGGTTAGCAGAAAGGATGTATCGTACTCCCAGAAAACAGGAAGAAAAAAAAAACAAACAACTGGAAATGTCCAGACCTCCTTCTGATAATTACGTGATAGTTGCATTCAGTTTGTGACCCACAAGTTCTAGGGGATCAAAGATGGCTTTGAAGGAGTCTACAAAAAGTAACTAAGGAAAGCAAACCTATTGCCAGAAGGCTTAAATTCACTCTGCAAAGACAGATCCTCCTTTTGAAATTTTCAGGGTCTCAAAAATTAAAAGAAAATATTGAAAAGTAGCGATTTAAATAATGCAAAGATTCAGAAGCCTTAATGTGCAAATAGAACAGAAAATCCTCAGAAAAGGAGTCTTTCTCTTGGCTTATTGCTTCCACTTAGTATCTATTTGCATTTCTACAACGTCCTTTCCAAAGAAACTCATAGCTGTTCTCCAAGACTCCACACTCCCCTCTGAAGTACAACATGGCTTAATCCTGAATTTTCCAGATGGAAAACTAAGGTTTAGAGCCCAGGAGCTCTACCTTCTAACTCCTACCCTGAGCTTTCCTCCCAGACCTTGGAAAAGAACTCAGGAGGTTCTGACTTCTCAACCTCTCTGAGTCTCTAGGCCCCACACTGGCCCCTATTTCACTGCAGAAAAGATACAGAAGTGTCCCAGAACACGCTGAAACACACTCACAAATCCATGTGTTTCCCCAGCTGACCAAGTACTGGATACATTCAGTTGTACTGACCCACTACATTTCCATCACTCTGGGAAAACTCCAAAAGGGATGCTGCTACTGCCTTTCTGCAGAGCTCAGGCGATGCTGTGAGTTCAGTATTAGGACAAGATTTGCCTGCTTGTTACATTATTTATGCAGAGCAGATTGCTTGGCAATTACGTTTAAAGTACAATCACAGTGCCATTTGTACTTCTTAGGTAGAGGCGAAAGTTTTTTAAGGCTTTAATACCTTGAAAAGTACCAGGGTAAGTGGAAATGACTGTGTTCTCTCTTATTAGCTGCACAGTTATTTATACTTTTGCAGATTACCATGGTACAGTGCAATTAGGCTTTGGAAGTACTGTGCAAATTGAGAAGTTTCAAGAGCTCTACTGAACAATTAACCCTTAAATACATTAACAGGTATAAACCTGCAGCACATGCCCAAAATCTGCTCCAAATGGGGGCTTTGAAATTAGCTAGGAAGAAAGAAGTACGAGAGACCATCTGCCAAGAAGCTGCTTGCACCCAGAGCAGTGGCTACTATGCATTGACAGTTCCACCAACTACACTTTCAGCAGGTTGCGCAATAGCTGCAATGCACCAGGTAAATTTGACACAAGGCACTTGGTCTCCCCCACCCTGGCTGCCTCTTTTTTTTTCTTTTTTTATCCTTAGGGTAGAAAACACCTAATAACAATTCTGTTAAAGGCATACCCTTTCCAAATCACAGGCAGGATGTTAGGAGGAAGAACAACCCCCAGGAGGTAGAAGCTATTGCTGATTTCAGACATCAAGGAACTGGCCTGCTTATAGGGGTGGGTTTGGGGGTGTGGGGAAGGGGATTTTTTTTTTTTTAAACAGACACATATACTTACAAACACACACTATATCCAGCAGTGTGCTTCCCCAGGCCAGGACACTCCATCTCCCACTAGGAGAGTTAGACTCGGAGCATGGCAGGTACATGTCCTGGTTTCGGCAGGGATAGGGTTAATTTCCTTCCTAGTAGCTGGTACAGTGTTGTGTTTTGGATTTAGGGTGAGAACAATGTTGGTAACACACTGATGTTTTATTGTTGCTAGGTAGTGTTTACACTAGTCAAGGACTTTCCAGCTTCCCATGCTCTGCCGACTGAGGACCCAAACTGGCCAAAGGGATATTCCATACCATATGACGTCATGCTCAGTATATAAAGCTGGGGGAAGAAGAAGGAAGGGGGGGGACGTTTGGAGTGATGGCGTTTGTCTTCCCAAGTAACCGTTACGCATGATGGAGCCCTGCTTTCCTGGAGATGGCTGAACACCTGCCTGCCCATGGGAAGTAGTGAATTAATTCCTTGTTTTGCTTTGCTTGCGTGCGTGGCTTTTGCTTTACCTATTAAACTGTTTTTATCTCAACCCATGAGTTTTCTCACTTTTACCCTTCGGATTCTCTCCCCCATCCCACTGGGGAGGAGTGAGCGAGCGGCTGCGTGGTGCTCAGTTGCCAACTGAGGTTAAACCACGACAATACATGACACATCTGAGTCTATCCATAGCAGAGATGACACCAGCACCTCACTGTGGTATCTCTACTCCTTTAGTGGCTACTGTCCTTACAGCCCAAGGCAACACAGATTCACTGCCAAGATGATCATCCCAGCTCACAGGGCTGAGGAACGTGGCTAAGATCAGCTAAGATCATATTATGCACTGTGTTGTACACCACCTTGGACACTGTTCCAGCAAGCATGTACCATCTATAGAGACTGCCTTCGTTGCCAGCCTCACAACAGACACCCTGAGGAATGAAGAGACTTGTCTAAGGACACTCAAAGGCAAGAACAAAACCAAGCTCCTCTGTGTGCCAGGGAAATGCCCATACATCAAGAAACCCTCTTGTTTGCAGACCCCACTTCATTAAAGCAATGTGTTCTTAATCATGTCTCCCTTTTCCAAAAGGCAACTCCAGTTATCTCAGACTCCCTCCCGTCTCCTCCCCTTGCTCAGCCTCCAGTTTTACATGAGACACAATGCAACCCCTCCATGCCAGTTGCTGTGACTTCTATAATCCACTTACCTCCACAGTGAGCTCTCCGTAACACTCCCCAAGTTGAAGTCATAGAGCTTTGTCAGAATGAGAATCACCTAGGGAGGGGAAAGGGAGGGAGGAAGAGAAAGGGAAAAGGAAGAGAAAAAAAGAGTTTTCCTTTAGACTGTGTAACAATACACAAGGCATCTGAAATCACCCAAAGGAGAGCTTAGCATTTATCCATTAAAGTTGCAGTATTATAGGATCAAGTAAGTTTAAAAAAAAGGCAAATCATTAGCTTAATGCATCCTGTAACGAGTAACATTTATTTTAATCTCAAAATATTTTGCATTTGAAATAAAACGTGCCAACAGGAATTAATTGAACATTGTGAGCTGCCCTCTTTACAACTATGGTTATTCAAGGTCGGGGTGGAATCAGATGTGCCCTCGTTAACTCAACAGCCCACTCAGAAATTAGTTGACTTTTCCTGTTTCTCAAGGTGCTACGACAAATTGGTGAGTTTCCATGGAAAGAATTGGCAAGTTTGTCTATGAAGATCCCCATCCAGCAAAACAGTCCATCTTGCCCAGAATGAGCTTTGTTGTTCTCTATCTGCTGTCACTGACTCCAGGAACATGGGAATTTCCACGTTATCACCTTTCTGCAGCGGTAAAATAGAGGGATACAGAGCATGACATTCAGCTTAGACACTGAGCAAGACAAACTTCAGCTGTATCTGTAGTGCTCAAGGAGAGTCAGAGCCTTCAGGACCCACTGACTAACTTTCCGGTGAGCCACGAACACTCCCGAGTCATGTCCTTGCAAAACTGAGGTAGGAGGAGAGGGGACTTAAGGAGTACGTGGGGGACCACGGGGGAATATAACTTCCCTCTGACATCCTTGGTGCTCTGACCTCAGATTTCACAGGTGAATGCAATCCTCCTAGTTACCAGCTACATTGCCCAATGCCCTTCTTCCCCAGAAAGGCAGCTATGCACTCCAATAACCTGTGAGCCTCTGTGCAACCTCCCAGGCTCAGATGGGATGGAAACTTCTGCAGAAAGAATAGAGGTTCCTCAGTGGAAGTTAAGAGCATTTGAGCACCTGCTCCTTGCTTTTTTTAACATAACTAATGTCACCCAGTTCACTCCCTCAGATTCTATGGGACCAGCCTCAGTAAGAACTCTGGGGCATCTCTTCATTTTGGTTTTGCTTCATTTTAACATTTCAGCATTGTTTCCTCCTTGCAGAATTCAAGAACAGGCTAGTTCCCCTTGCATCTGCTTGGGCTGTGAAAGCATCTAGGGAAATTTTTAGTAAATACTTGAGGGGTTTTGTTTTGTTTCATTAACAGGTACTTCACAGTTTGGCTAAAAGATGGGTCCAAATGAGAGATGTGACCCAAAGGGTTGGGTTCATTAATGTTTACCTATGCAACAACGATCTTTTCTACTTCAAAAGCCACATGCCCCTCCCTCTTCTTCCTCCCACAGCAGTGGGACCCACCACACCTTTCATTTGGGTTTCCCAGCTGAAAGGCTGCTGGGTGAGGAGTTTAAAGCTTTGCAGAAAAATGCCAAAGGATTAGTCAATATCACAATGGCTGCAGCAGTTGGTTACTGTCAGCATAATACTGGGAAGAGACCTGTTCAAATTGTAAGGGACCTTGGTACATGACTATGCAGTCAGTGCCCAACTTAATGGCTTTACAATAGATGCTCTGAGCATCCCTCTCTCTACTGGATTCACTTTCCCCATCCCTGATTGCATTTTGTCCCTTTATTTCCCCATGCAGAGACCTTTAGGAGGAAAATAAAAGCCAAGCTGCTTCCAGCAGGGTGTGAAAAGAAACCTGCCAGGCAGATTTGAGTCAACATATGCGAGCCCATGTCAGCCTAAACCGATGCTGTGCAGTGGGGAAATAAGGACAATATCCTTTTTATCGCAACTTAAACCCTGCACACGCTTTCCCATACAAAGGGGGATAAGCCAGCTGCAAGTTACAGCAACCAAGGTTTGTATACCTCCTCCCCTTACACCAACTGAGGGAAGCAGTACAGGCTGCTCCCAGCTAAAACCTGATGAGAGTGACATTTTTAGGATGTTCCCTATATTCCCACAGGGGCTCAGACAGGACCCCTCTCGAAAGTCTCTAGGAAGCCATGCACCACAGCACAAGCCCTGCCCTGCCAGAAATGACACCCTTCTTAGTGCTCACAACTATGGCAAGGTTTCACAAAGTTAGCTTTCCAGTTTCAGAGCCCAATCACATTGAAGACAGCAGGATGACTTCCGCTGAGTTCAGTGGATCCTGGATCCAGCCCTAAACATATTAAATAAAATCTTCGTGTCCTGGTCAAATTTCAACAGAATAATTCTACCTTAAGTTGCAATTACAACTGAAGGCAGCATCCATTTGCAATTACAACTGAAGGCAGCATCCATATCCCCCCAGCTCTTTGTGTGCCTCTCCCCAGATCTCCTATGCCCTATATATTTTAAGATGTCACTTATCTATTAAAAACTCTGCAAACTGCAGGATAACACCAGCTTTACAGGAGTGGGTTGAATCCTACTCAGCTCCTGGGTACAAATCCAAAGTAAAAGCATGTTGTTTAGTACAGCTTTTCTGGATTTTTGCCCAGGATGAATAACAAAAATCCAGCTCTGCCTGCAGTTAATGCATGGAAAGCAATAGCATGAGCATCCCCTTGTAGTTAAATCTCACAAAGGGTCCCAGGAAATAGCAGGAGTTGCCTGAGGCAGTGGTAATACACAGTACATTCACCTACAGCAAGCTGTCCATAAAATCACTCGCCACATATGCCCGGGCCAGGCAACGCTCTTGCACCACAACCCCAGGTGGCCTCCACCCTGTCCCCGCTTGGTTTTGAGACAAGACACTTCAGATTCAATAAAGGTAACCCTTGCGATGATTTCAAGTTTGAAAACCAGAGGATTGGAGAGGCTGAACACACAAACTTCCCAAGAAAAACTGTGAAAGCGCATTCCCCCACAACGCTGCCCCATGAGACTGCCGAGCAAATGTAACTACTAAGGAAGTGTCACATGCGGTTAAGACACAAATCAAAGCCTGAAAGGCACAGCTGGTTCCCGAGTTGTTTTCACGGGGTGCTTTTGACACAGCATTGCAGAGGAAACTTCAAAGCGTTTCAAGAGGCTATTCCGAGGCCTCCACTTCATGTTGCCCCAACCGTGCTAAGAAGAAACTCGAAGCAGGGATATCAGGGGCAGATGTGGGCAAGTACCAGATTTTCTGAGACATTCTGTTATTTGAATGCTTTCATTGAAAAAGAATGGAACAAAACATAAGGAAAATTGGACATGTTTTCGAAAACTGAATTCTGACAGGAAAAAAATGAAAAAGAAAAAACCCTCATTGATTCAAGCTGAGACATTTGATTCTGATTTCTACTTTGTAGTTGAAGAAGCTTAGCTTCTTTTTGTCGAGACTAACAAACAACCGTGGTTTTTCTGTGCCAGAGTAATTTTGCATGAAAATCTTGATAGTTTTCATTTTAAAAGCTGAATTCAATTAAAAATTGGGGATTTCACATTTAAAGTACATTTCAAAACAAAAATAAACATTTTCTTCCCCCAAACTGAGGGAAATCTAGAATTGCCACCCCATAGAAAATGCCCACTCTTCAACCTAAATTAAGATGAAAACATTTTGCTCTGGGGAAAAGAAATAAAAACAAAAAAAGTTCCAAGTGATATTGATTCAGAAACAGCAAAAACTTACACTTAAGCATTCTTTAATCAAAATAAAGAAAACACCCTTCCAGTGCCAAATTAAACTGTTTCTGTTCATCAAACTAATCTCCCCAAAATTAATTTCAAGTCAGCTCAATGCTGAACTGCATTTTTCTCCGGGGTCATACTGCTTACTCCAAGGAATACAGCTCAGATGTGAAATGTCCCCCTGTCTCCTATGGGCCAGGCTCCACACAGCCACACTGCGCTTCCCAAGACACCCCAGGGGCAGGTGTCCCTCAGGGCACCAAGCAGCTCAGCTGGTTGAGAATGAAAAAAGGGAGAACCAGCCTGCAGAACAGAGTGGGGAAATAGGCCAGGCTGAATTACAACTCCCTTAAGGCAACACAAACCCTCTGGAAAATGGAATTTCAAGCTGAGCTTACATGAAACTAAATGACCTGAAAAATTCAATAAACTGTTTTGGTTTTCTAGACAGAAGTGGGGATGGAGAAAGGATAATAAAAAAAAAAAATATTTTTTCTTTGGAAACAAGTGATGTTCCAGTCCTGCAAGAATTTCCTTAAGCACTTTATTTTACACACATGCCTCCCCACAGTCTGTATGGTTTTGTTTTGCAGAAACTACACTGTCTACTGAATACCCTGCTATAAGGCTTCATGACAGAAATGTCAACTCCTGTCACCTATTTATCTTCAATGGCTTATACTACAATACAGATTAAGAGTCTCTGGCACTGAGAAATCCCTCTGTCTCACTGTGTAGTATACTGAACCACTAAATCCAGTTTTACTATGAGGGACTGCTGCTCTAAAATAAGGCCAGCAGGTCTCCAAGACTGCCCAATCCAGCAGCCTTGCGTCTTGACACAACTTGGCTGGCATGAAAGCAGAAAAAATATAACCAGAAACACTAGCCCAGGCTTCATTCCATGTTCAAAACACATCCCTGAAGGGATCCCTATTGTTCAGACAATTATTAGGAATCTCTGAGCCCATAAATCACAGAAGTGCTCAGAAGCTCTTCAGAGTATTCGGTGGTGTAACAATTTTCATGCCCATAAAATTTTACTATGAAGGAAAATTATTTCCGTTCATTAAACCCTCCTCCAGATCTTGCCAATGCTAAACTGGCAAAGTGTTTTGCATATACCCCACAGTGGAATATGTAACGCTGTTTCCCACAAATTGGAGTGTAAAGGCATTGCAGTTACTTCAGCAGGTTGGCAATGAACTTCAGAACAACCAAAAAGTGCCACATCAAAGGCAGTCATGTTCCTGTATCAGGCGATGCTTGTATTAGAGACAGGAGAGGGAAGAGCACAGCAATCGGAGAGAATAGGTGGTCAGTTCAGGTAGACATCTGAAAGGCCAGC